CAGGAGAAGCTCTCCTTTGAAGTGCAGAGTTGCTTAAGACATTTTAAAACATTAAGGGCTACTGCCTTTGGTTGCCCCCAGAGGAGGAAGGTAATTCCCTGCTGATGAAGACACCATGCACTCTAGAAAGCAAGCCCAGAGGAACTGAGCTGCATCTGAACTGAAACTGTCTTCCCTGAGGACTAGCTTTCTTGGTATCAGAAGGTTATATGTAACCTTCCAAAGGAGGGGAAATACCAATAGTCTTACCTAAGCTATGATACTTATGACCTTCAGAGCAATGACCAGCATGGCACAATAACCCTAAGTGTGCGGTAGTGGCACACTACCATCGTGGCAACCAAAGCTCTCTAATTTGACTTAAGAGTCATTTAACAAGAGGGAAACCATACCTGACATTGGAAACATAAAACCTACTCAGAGCTAGAGAATTCATGGATTGTGGAAGAGATTCTACAACTTACACTTTATTAAATCAGCATAAAGCCTAACTACATACTAAATATTTATTCTTTTTGTTGTTGCTGTTCTGTTTTTTTCAAGCTTGCTTCACATGACAATACCAGCTCCTTCTCCCTTCCCTCCTCCCCACTACCCCCCACCAGCACTCCTAGGCCCCCACCCAATCCCCACTCCATTCCCTAGGGTGGGTGAGATCCTCCATGGGGAATCCTTAGAATCTGCCATTTCATCCAGGGAAGGGCCCATGCCCTTCCACAATAGATCAGGCTGAGAGAGCATCCCTCACTGTAGGAGGGGCACCTTAAGTCCATCTGTATGCCAGTGACACACACTGATCTACCGCCCAAGGCCCCACAGATTGCCCAGTCCTCCTCACTGACACCCACATTCAGGGGGTCTGGATTAGTCCCATGCTGGTGTACCAGCCATCAGTTGGGGGTCCGAGAACTCCTACTTGTTCAGGTCAGCTGTTTCTGTGGGTTTCACCAGCCAGGTCTTGACCCCTTTGCTCATCATTCCTCCCTCTCTGTCATGGAGTTCCAGGAGTTCAGTTCAATGTTTAGCTGTGGGTGTCTGCCTCTGCTTCCATCAGTCACTGGATAAAGGTTCTAGGATGGCATTTAAGGTAGTCATCAAACTCATTATCAGGGATAGGCATTTGAGGTAGTCTCTCCACTGTTGCTTAGATTGCAAGTTGGTGTCATCCTTGTAGATATCTGGAAATCTCACTGGTGCCAGGTCTCCCCCAAACCTACAATGGCTCCCTCTATTATGGTATCTCTCATCCTGCTCTCCTCTATTCTTCCCCCTACTTAATCTTCCTGCTCCCCCATGTCCTCCTCTCACCTCCTCCTCTCCCCCTCTCCTTTTCCCGGATCCCCCCCCTTCCACCCATGTTCCTCATATCTGACAGAAGGCTGATCTCCAAAATTTACAAAAACTCAAGAAGCAAGTCTACAAAACACCAAAGGATCCAACTAAAAGTGGGGTATAGAACTAAATAGAGAATTCTCAATAGAGGAGTCTGAAAATGGCTGAGAGACACTTGAGAAAGTGTTCAATATCCCTAGCCATCAGGGAAATGCAAATCAAAACAACTCTGAGATACCATCTTACTCCTGTCAGAATGGCTAAAATCAAAAACTCCAATGACAATTTATGCTGAGAGGATATGGGGAGAGGGGAACACACCTCCACTGCTGGTGAGAATGCCAGCTCATACACCCACTTTGGAATCAGTATGGAGATTACTCAGGAAAATGGGAATCAATCTACCACAAGACCCAGCGATTCCAGTCTTAGGCATAGACCTAAAAGATGCACATTCATTCAACAAGGACATCTGTTCCACTATGTTCATAGCACCATTATTTGTAACAACCAGAACCTGGAAGCAACCTAGATGCCCCTCAACCAAAGAGTGGATAGAGAAAAGGTGGTACATTTACACAGTCAAGTACTACTCAGCAGAAAAAAGACAATGGAATCCTGAAATTTGCAGGCAAATGGATGGCACTAGAAGAAACCATCCTGAGCGAGGTAAACCCAATCACAAAAAGAGAAACATGGTATGTCATTCATATATGGATTTTAGACATGGATCAGGAGAGTGCCAGACTTACACTCCCACTGTCAGAGAGTCTGGGAATCAGGTAGGACCCTAAGAGAGATATGCATGGTACCCCAGATAAGGGGAATATTTATTCTTATGGTTTTTTTGGGTGGACAGGGTTTCTCTGTGGCTTTGGAGGCTGTCCTGGAACTCTTGTAGACTATGAAAGGATGAACAGGAGTTGTTTGGAAGGACAAAAGAGGCAGTGAGAATGAAGGCATGGATGCACAGGACAGCATGAATCATCCTCCTGTGCAGTCTGAGCCTCTTCTCTGAGATAAAGGCATGCAGATGGAACAAATGAGGGCTGGCTAGTGAGGGGACAGGGCCAGGCTCTGGTGCTCACTCTGGCAGGGCACAAAGCAAAGGGGGCCACTGAGTAACATCGAAAGAAAGCCAACATCATGAACAGGGAGAAGAGTTCAAACATCTCTCTAGACTAAGCAGAATGCAGATGGAGTTGGAGGGGTGCATTACTACTGCAAGATAAGCTGATGAGTGTCATCAAATCAGGCTGCAGGAGAAATAAAGAGACTGTAAACAATGGCAGTGAGAGACGGGAAAAGCAACAGAATGGAAAATGGCTCGGTTGCTACTATTTGAGAAATAAAGAAAACTAGAATGATCTTGATTAGATCACATCATTTCTCTTCTCTAATTTAGATAATGGTGACTTATTGTTATTTATTAATTATCACAGTGTGATTGTTTCCTAATTATTACAGTGTTGCATAAAGTTGCAGATAATAGCTGCATTTATTGAGTAGCTACCATATATCATGCTAATACATGTCAATTATATGTGCTAAGTATGTATGGTAATTTATGCATATGCCAGTGTGTGTGTGTGTGTGTGTGTGTGTGTGTGTGTGTGTGTAACTACCTCTCTGTCAGTGCTAATACCTAAGATAAGAAGAATGCAGAGGAGGAAATCATTGGCAGGGGAAGATGCTAGACAGGGTTATTTCCAGATGTGATGAATCTGTAAAGATATTCAGACTATGCAGAAATACTTAGGAGGTGATACAACAACATTAGATACTCAGGAGTGATGTCTGTCTGGAGAGACAGAGTTCTATGATACACATGAAGAGTAATGAGAAAGGGTTAGGCATGAAGACCAGTCCCTATGGAGAAGAATGGTAAGAAAAATAAGGAATTCCAGGAAATTGACATGCCCCCAAAACCAAAATAATGGAAAATCCCTCAGGGCATCTCAAGCAGAGATCTGCAAGTACAAAGGATGTCTGTAGAATCAAGTCCACAGAGTGATTTGATAATTAAGCATAAGACTCACTTGGCATACTTGGAGAATAAATGGGTGTTGAAGAAGCAGCCCAAGTCTAGAAATGGAGCTTAAAATAAGGATGCCTGAGAAGGATGAGTGGGAGGCTTAAAGCAGCATCGGGCAAGGAAGGTATGCGGAGAGCAGGCAGAGAAAAGGAAGCCTCTGCACACAGCACAGGTCCCCGAGGACATGGCAGGCACAGGAAGCAGGCAGGGAGATCAAGCTCAAACCATGAAACAGAGCGATGACAAGCTTCCTCAGGCTGGGTTTAACATTCAAAAGCAAAAGATTTAACTGCAGTGTTTTTTCCCCAGAGAAAATTCTGGATGTGTGCTTGCTTTTTTCTTGCAATGTTTTGACAACACCTGTTTATCACAGGGGGAGTTAATGGAAGCTGGAAAAGGGAAACAGGGCTCTGGTGGTTCTTGAAAGGAAATCACAGGTAGACCTTTCCATTTGCTGCTAAAGCCTCAAATAGGTCATGTGACTTTCAGTCTCTCCATCTGCAAAATAAAGATAATGCCTGCATCACTTGACGGCTGTGCCAATGACTGGAAATATCAGTGGAATGCCTCCAGTAACCCACAGGTCTCCCTCAGTAATTAAAGGCGCTGATAGGGCTGCTCTTTGGAACAACCCAGTTAACCAGTACCCCTGGGCATGGCAGGCAAAAAGACCTGACAGCGCCTATTTTTGGCCATTTAGATGAAAAGTAGGAGCCGGGACTCATATCCAGGAACCCTTCCCATGGCCCCTCTCCCCTCTCCTCACCATGTCTAGGACTCCCTGTTGACCAGCCTCTCCCAGGACCCTCTAAGTCAGCAGTTCTCAACCCTTTGGAGGTCGAATAACTCTTTTATAGGGGTCACCTAAGGCCGTAGGATAACACAAATGTTTATGCTTTGGCTCCTAACAGTCACAAAATTACAGTTATGAAGTATCAACAAAAATAATTTTGTCGTTGGAGGTCACAAACAACTGTACTAAAGGGCCGCAGCATTAGGAAGGACCACTGCTCTAAGCCTTCAAGGCCAGATCACAATCGCTAGCTCAGCTGTAGCCAACTGGGCCAGATGAAGAATCCTACCCATTTCACAAGCATCCCCACACCTGGGTGTTGAGTTCAGCTCTACTTGGTACATTCTCATTCATTAATTGCTCCACGGAGGAACTATGATTCACTGTGTACCTGATTCTGAGTTCAACCTCTCCCCTCTTATCACATTCTGAACTGAAGTATTATCTGACAGTTTTTCATCAAGCCTGCTACAATGTTTCTTTTAAATTCAACACATGTTGTCACGTGTAACATGTGACTAAACAGCAATTGAGTTGTCATGCCATTAAGAACATCAAAGATAACAATACAATGCAATAGTTAACAGGTGAACAGAACTCTCTGAGTATGGATGCCTCCTACATCCTGTCTTTGCAGTCTCAGGAAGGTTGTATTCGTTCTGTTCTTTGATCCTGTCTGTAAAATGGTGATAATGACAGGAGCAACTACCTGGCAGGTATTTTTACTTTTAAAGTCCTATTATCCTGCTATTTTTCTGAGACAATTATTACCTAGTATATTGTATAATTTAACCATCTATTGTGTGTATTGTCTATTTTTGTCTCTTCTCACAGCATGCCAAGTCCTCAAGAGAAGAACTTACTATGCCTGAGTCATGGGAGGCATTCAAGCAATTCCTGTACCTCGATGAATTAAATATTGAAGGCTGAGAGAAAGTGAGCGGGGAAATATGGGAGCTCGTAAGAGGGTTAAGTTTTCCATCTTTCTGACCAGGCCCCATGATCCAGCTGTCACAGGACTTACAAGGTACAACAAGCTAAAGAATACAGCCAGTGCAGTGATGCTATAGGCTTAACTTGGTGCATGTCTCACTGCTTAACAAGTGGCTACAAATAGAGCCATGTTTCTTAGCTATTTTTATTATTACTGACATGCCAAATAAGACATTTCTTCTTCTTCTTCTTCTTCTTCTTCTTCTTCTTCTTCTTCTTCTTCTTCTTCTTCTTCTTCTTCTTCTTCTTCTTCTTCTTCCTCTTCCTCTTCCTCTTCCTCTTCCTCTTCCTCTTCCTCTTCCTCTTCCTCTTCTTCTTCTTCTTCTTCTTCTTCTTCTTCTTCTTCTTCTTCTTCTTCTTCTTCTTCTTCTTCTTCTTTTTACAAATTATTCCCATCTATACATATATGAAATTTTAAAATCATGGATATACCATAAAGTATGTCAGGTGACTGGAGGAAGTCATGCCTTAGAGTGCTGAAAATGGGAAATCTATATTTTTTGTTTCTACTAACCAAGAACCAGTCCTTGTTATTTGTTTTTGGCATGCAGTAGAATTGTGTCCGTGTTTTGCAGCCTCAGTGCTGATATTTGGTATCTAATAACACTTCAATTGGAGGACTTGCTATGGACCTAGAAGCTCACTGTAGTGGGTCTTGCTTCTCTCTTCTGGCTATCAGTAGCCCCTGCTTCCAGTCACAGGCACCACAAATGTCTCCATTTTGACAATGTACCCTTGGGGGAGTGGGAACAGCAAATGGTCTCCATTTAAGAATGCACAGGTCAGCCATGTCGTTGTGGTGCAGGACTTTAATCCCAGCATTTGGGAGGCAGAGGCTGGTGGATCTCTCTGAATTCAAGGCTAACCTGGTCTACAGAGAAAGTTCTAGGATAGCCAGGGTTATACAGAGAAAGCCTGACTTGAAAAACAAACAAACAACAAACAACAACAAAAAGAATGCACAGGTAAATAAATATATATTTTTAGAGGCCACAGGAAAATTGTAAAAGTCTCCATCACAGACTAGTAGCTTTTCCATTTTTGCAAATAATATCCTTTTAAAAAAGAATAATAAACATTAGGCCATCTACAGCTAGTGTCTCAGAGAAATGACAATCTATTTTAATAAATTATCATTTTTCTGAAAAGTTAATAATGTTCAATTTTATAATCCAGTACAACTGAATCCTCTTTCCTAAACTTTCTTCTGAAAACATGAGCTGGCTTTTATTAAAGGTGGTTACACAGTGGTAGATGATTTTTTGACTGTTTTTTTTGTCTTTCATTAAAATATTTTTCTTTTTTTAATTTAAATTAGAAAGAAGCTTGCTTCTCATGCCAATCACAGCTCCCTCTCCCTACTCTATTCCCCTGCCCCCACACCAGGCCCTCCAGCCCCCCACCCAATCCCCACTCCATTCCCCAGGGAGAGTGAGACCCTCCATCGGGGATCTCTAGAGTCTGTCATTTAGTTCAGGTCAGGGCCTATGCCCTCCCCCAAGAGTCCAGGCTGGGAGAGCATCCCTTATTGTGGAATGGGCACCCAAAGTTCATTTGTATGCAAGGGATAAATACTGATCTACTACCCAAGGCCCCATAAATTGCCTAGGCCTCCTCACTAACACCTACATTCAGGGGGTCTGGATAAGTCCCATGCTGGCCTCTCAACCATCAGTCTGGGGTCCAAGAACTCCCCCTTTTTCAGTTAAACCAGCCCAGTCTTGACCTCTTTGCTCATCAGTTCTCCCCCTCTGTCACTGGATTCCGTTCAGTTCAGTGTTTAGCTGTGCTTTTACCAAGTCTTTATATTAGTCTAAAACTTCATGTATATAGACTTTTAGTATTTAAATAGACTAAATATATTAAATAATTCATTTTCTCAGAGAAATTAATTATACAAATACAATGAGATTAACATTAGCTATAACACATAAAGAAACAAACGCCTAAAGATTGTTCATTGATGTGCATTGTGCTATAGAAGTTTTTTTTATATTTTATGACTTTATTCAATTCTTTAGATAACTATTATTATTATCATTTCACACATAAGAAAATCAGTTCAGAGACACTAAGGTCAGCTCACAGAAGTGGCATGACCTTGATTTAATTTAGCCTTATTCAACTTCAATGTTTCTGTTTGTTTCATAGGAAGCTTTTAGAGTCAGATTTTTAAAGTATACGTTTTCCATCCAGTAAAAACTTCCATAGAAGATGTTGGAGATGAACTTCATTTTACCTGCAAATGGTGTTTTTAAAAGCCAAGGTTTCCTTTCAACATGAGAGAGGACAGTTTATTGATGTTTTCACTGATTTCTCTCATGTTAGAGCTACTGTAGCAACAGAAAGCAAAGACCAACCTTATCTCCATCAACAATGAATCTCCAGGGCAGAATTCAGTAACTTCTGATGTTTGATCAAAACTAAAGCAAAACAGCAGCTGTATCTTTTTCATAAGTTTCGAAGGTATGAAAAACCTTCAGATTCAGCACCAGGGATGCTGGCTTAATTAAGCAATAAACAAAGAGGCATTGCAGGGTCAGTATGTGCCCAGACCTCTGCCAAGCTTACAGTCAACCCCAGATAGTTAACAATTAGCCACATCGTGTTCATATACGGATTTCCCGTCTAAGACAAAATAAGGGAAACTCGATCCTAGCGACTTCCAGACCAAAGGCCATTAATGGATACCTGGAGCCTAGAAACAAACAACTGGAAAGTATGGAAAGTCAAGTCTGTCTGTCTCTCTTTATCTTTGTCTTTGTACTTTTGTATCTCTGTCTCTCCCTGTCTAATCATCTCTCTCTGTCTCTGTGTGTGTGTGTGTGTGTGTGTGTGTGTGTGTGTATGCACATGTATATGGAAGCCAGAAGTCAAACTCAGATATTGTTCCTAAGATACAGTTCAGTAATTTTTATAATTATGCCATCTCATTGTGAACTGAGGCTAGCAATATCAGGCTAAACTGGACAATGAGCTCCAGGAACCCATGAGTCTCAGCCTCCCCGGTGCTGACATTAAAAGCACACACCTCTCTGCCTGACTCTTTTACATGAAATCTGTGGTCAGAACTTACTTCCTCATCCTTGCGCAGCAAGCACTTTGCTGGTTGAACTACCTACACAGCCTGAAAGTCAAATCATTTAAAGGCATTTATGTTATTTTTTCTTTATGGAGGATGGGGTAGAATTAAAGATTTGGGTCTTTGCGATGAGCTTTGAAAAAGCCCCGCCCCCAGGCCTAGTCAGATGACTCAGCAGGTAACAGTGTTGTCAGCAGTCAGAATACCTGGGTTCCATTTCTGGACCTCAAATGGTAGGAAAGAAGAATTCACTCTTATGGGTTGTCTTTTGACCTCCACACATGCACCCTCTCCACAAATTGATTAATTAATTAATTAATTACAATTTTTAAGGCTATCTCTGTCAGCTAGCTTGACAGCTCCTTCCATCTTAGATATTCCATGATTTGAGGTGTTTAACCTTGAAGATACTTATGCTTTAATTATGGGGTACTTAAATTATGGGGTTACAACATAGAATCTTACTTGATTAAAGGCTGTGGACACATAAGTCTGAATTTCATATTAATTATGTAGCTCAGTGTCTTGCTACTCAAGAATACGGGACTTGCAGGCTTGCTAGAAATGCATGACTCCAAACCTGTGAACAAAATCAGCCTTATAACAATATCACATGTAATTAAACACATATTTAAGCTTGGAAAGCAAGGCCAAAAATAGTATTGCTATAAATGTAGACTGCTACAATTGAATCAAAATGCAGATACCAAGGCCTCAAAGATTCGCTCACCTAACATCCAATTATGGTGTCTAGATTCATCGGTATTAGCAGCAAGACTAGATCATCCACACAGTAAAACCTAAGAAACATCATTCAACATAGGTTTGGGATTCGAGAGTCTCTATAATCCACAGATGCCACAAAGAGCTCTAAGTTTTAAAACAAAAATGTGGAGTATTGAGATATTGTTTCTGAAGTTCAAGGGGCTACAAAGTAGAGCTAATTATCAACCACAAGCAATTAATTAGGTGTTAACTGCAAGGGAAGGTAACTAGCTGGATCATTTAAAATATTCACTGACCAGAAGATAGCAAGAAGGACTCCCAGTGGAGACATGAAAAGTAATTCTTCAATCTGAGGCCAGAGAGAGAGGACCATATTGAAGGAAGTGTCGTAATGACTAGAGTCAGTTTAGTCATTCAGTCTAAGGTCTTTCTTACATGCACTCTAAATGTTCAAAGGAAGCACACAAGTAGAGAAATGCCCTCTAAGCCCCGGTGTATGGGAAAGGGACAAGATCGAAGGCTAACCCTATGAGCAAAACTGAAGAATGAAAGATTCAATAGAATGGCGTGGAACTCAATCTAGCAACAAGTTCCAGAGTGTGGAAAAATGTAACAGAGAGGGGATATTTTACACCCTTGGCCTCCAGTGAATGGTGTGAACCAGCACCAGAAGTTTCTGCTGGGACTCTGATGTGGCTGCAAGCCACAAGCTCTTAACCAAGGACTTAGGGGAAAGGCATCCAAGGATGCCAGGACCAGAACATGCACTGAGATCCCAGGAACTTCACAGCTTTTCAGCTGCTTTTCTCCGAGTTTGCATCACACTGAAACCATCTGAGAAACTTCTGAAAGTTTTGAATACCCCAAATCTTGCTCTCCAGGAGGAAATCAGGGAATGGAATGCTGGCAAGTGTACTTTTGAAAAACTCTCAAAGCCCAGTCAAGGTTGAAAACATTGAATTCTTGATGTGGATACAAGCCTCTGGCTTTTCTTCATTCCCAAAGAAGGTGGCTCCTCAGCTTTTTAATTGAGCCACAGCAGTGTATGTGTCACCAACAGTAAGCCACGAGCTCATGAACAGGAGTCTGGGTGGCTCCTGATGGACTGCTGATAATTGCTGGCAGTCACGGTGTATTGACACATACTGAGAGCTAATAGAGAGGTCTGCTCTCTTCCTGTATCAAATCTTTCAGACCCTCATCAACTCAGACAATCCTCTGAGAAT